GTGCAGACTATAATATACGAAATGGAAAATTTTATTCAACAAGCAAAATCAGAGGAGAAATATGTTATTCAAAAATATGTCGATAAATGCAAATTATTTTATATCATGACGTTATGTTGCATAACTACAACTGCTGTTGCTATAATTTTTGGACCGCTGTTGCTACCTCAACCCTTTCCAATTGAAGTGCAGTACCCATTTTACGTTGACAAGCAACCTCTAAAAACTGTTATTTATTTGCATCATGTGATGGTCGTATATCAAAGTTATGTACAAGTATGTAGCAACGTCTTCGTAGCTGTTCTGCTTTGGTTTGTAGCAGCAAGATTCGAAATTTTGTCTCACAAATTTCGGAAAGTTAGAAGTTTCTCAGAGTATAAAATCTGCATACAGCTTCATCAACGGCTATTGCGGTGAGATATAAAATATTTTGGCAGAATAATCTCTCTATCGTTCTACTTGCAACATGACTACAGAGAGAGAAAAGCCAGAAATGTTTAAGTAACTTGATAATAAAAATGAATAATAAAGTCAATAATAATAATTATTATTTGTCTAAATTTCTCTTTACTTTAAATCAGTATATTATTTTATATTTCTGTCTTTTATTTGTTAATTTCAAAATAAAAATAAAAAAATTGAAAGTCGATTACAGATATGCGAAAGATATCACTATGACGATCCGTTATATAGCATTGTCATCAATAGGATTCAGTACTGTAGCAGTAGTATTCAGCGGTCTAACCTTTTTGAGTGTAAGTTATGTCTAGTCTATTTGTTTAACATATTTTAATTATATCGGAAAAGATATGCTAAATTGTACAATTCATTACAACGTACCTCTACTGTATCTCTTCTTAAACAAGCTTAAAATATTTTAAAATGTTAACGATGTATTATTGTTACAGCTAACCTCACTCGAATATCGCAATATTTATTTCAAAATAATTTTTTTATTCACAAATTTGACAATGCAATAGAAGTTCGGTAAAACGTACCACTAACTTTTTCCTATTATCGTACTGTTATGATTTATTAAACTTAATTTTTTATTTAGGCATAATTATTTTTTCTTCATATACTTAGATGGACAACTAAAGAAAATATTATCACATTTTATAATTATATCGAAAAAACACTTATTATATTTTTGTGTGATACAAAAAGTATTTTTGTTAAATTTTTGGAGATAATTTATAATTATAAATATATATGTATGACATTTTTATAGATATGTTTTGTTGCAGATTGAGAATTTTTGTAGAAAATAGAATTTTATTTTTGTTACAATTTTCTAATTTTATTGTAGAGGTACAATTTAAAACCTCATACGTACAATTTAGCAAACTGGTATTGTACGAAATAATATTTGTTTTAATTTTTAATTGATGATATGAAACATTGATAAAACATTGATAAACATTGATAAATAAAGTGTTAATGTTTATAGCGTATATCATTGACAATGAGAGAGAATCATAATTTTAAATAAATAAAAAATATATTTTATCATTTCTTTAATAGTTTTATTGCAATTTTAATATTTATCTTAGGAGATATGATTTAACATACTTTCCCCTATATACACATGTATATGTACATATATACATATAATATATTTTTTTTTTTAAGAATATATTGTATATATATATATATATATATATATATATATATATATTGATTTATTGGATTAACAACTATTTATGTAAATATTAAATAATTTTGTCTTGTTTCTTGTATTGTGAATTTGATAATTTTAATTCTTTTATATTGTATTAGCAGAACTAATATTACAATACTGATATAATTTTGTTTTGTGCAGCGACAACCATTAACTATAAAGGCTCAATTTTTGACTGTTGGCACATCCGCACTTATAGAAGTCTTTGTTTGCGCATGGCCAGCTGATTATGTCCTAAATATGGTAAAATATAATAATATATGATAAATATACAAGAAAATAAGAAAAACTTTAAAAATTCGTATATACAGAGTGAGCCATTTTAATCAACGTACGTAAATAGTGCGTATAGTAAGCAAGATGGAAAAATGTTTCAAACAAAGTTTTTGACTATGAGGGGAACATAAAATGGTGTTATTGATTTGACCTTGTATAAATAAAACTTGCTATTTTTTATTACATATTCTTATAGCTTATCTAAAGAGCTTTCCAAAACTCTATAATAAAGTGTTGTTTGATAAAGTACTTTTCAAATTATAAAAGCCCACACAACACATGGACGTAATTACAACATAATTTGGATGTCCGAAGCGAGCACCAAGGACATCCGATGGACGTCCCGTGTACATCCTGTGGATGTATTAAGGATGTCCTATGTTCCGCCTAACAACATCCATAGGCTATAAATGGGACGTCCAGCGGATATCCTTAGTGCTTACTACGGACATCCAAAGTATGTAATTATGTGGATATAATGACTGCATTCAACAGAAAAAGAGCACAATGGCCAGTATTCATAGTCAGATCTTATATTTAAGATCGTCTTAAGATCTCGTTCAACCAATCAAATGACGTTATACGGCTATTTAATTGGTTAAACGAGATCTTAAGACGATCTTAAATATAGATCTGACTATGAATACCGGCCAATGAGTGCTTATTAATTCTTTAATGTGATTAGTTTCTATGTTTAGATCCAACGAAGAACTAAAGGAAATAATCACATTAAAGAATCAACAGTCGCCGCATGAGCTGCTTTTTCTGCTGAACGCAACAAATGTTTCAATAATGCTCATTGAAAACTATTAAGACCATATTATATATTTAGATAGTTAGAATTTATAAATTTAACATATATAAGATAGGCAATAAGAGCCAAATCGCGGATGACAGTGCGTTATTCTAAACGAAACTAAAAATTTTTCGTTAGAATTAAATACCTGTGCACAAGGCACCAAATTTTACTTGGACACGGCCAAGATATAAAATTGGAATAATCTCTACAAGAGATTTTTAATTCCATGTATCCCCTATTCCCCCTAAAGAAATAAATGTGAGAGAAAAATATAGATCCGAAAGTCGCAGAATCGGGAATCGAACCCGAGACCTTTCGCTTGCCGGGCGACTGCTCTTCCAACAGAGCTATTCAGATCCTTTCGATTCTATACTTTTCTCTGTTATATATATTGATGTTGGTAAATAAACGCCTTTAAGCCAGCGTGTATAAATTAAGAGTTTAACTAGGCTCTGTAATATAAATATAAATTTAACATATATAAGATAGGCAATAAGAGCCAAATCGCGGATGACAGTGCGTTATTCTAAACAAAACTAAAAATTTTTTCGTTAGAATTAAATACCTGTGCACAAGGCACCAAATTTTACTTGGACACGGCCAAGATATAAAATTGGAATAATCTCTACAAGAGATTTTTAATTCCATGTATCCCCTATTCCCCTAAAGAAATAAATGTGAGAGAAAAATATAGATCCGAAAGTCGCAGAATCGGGAATCGAACCCGAGACCTTTCGCTTGCCGGGCGACTGCTCTTCCAACGTTGGAAGAGCAGTCGCCCGGCAAGCGAAAGGTCTCGGGTTCGATTCCCGATTCTGCGACTTTCGGATCTATATTTTTCTCTCACATTTATTTCTTTAGGGGGAATAGGGATACATGGAATTAAAAATCTCTTGTAGAGATTATTCCAATTTTATATCTTGGCCGTGTCCAAGTAAAATTTGGTGCCTTGTGCACAGGTATTTAATTCTAACGAAAAATTTTTAGTTTCGTTTAGAATAACGCACTGTCATCCGCGATTTGGCTCTTATTGCCTATCTTATATATGTTAAATTTATATTTATATTACAGAGCCTAGTTAAACTCTTAAGTTAGAATTTATTTAAATCAATAAAATACATGTATATAATTTTTGCAATATTATCTTAAGTATACTACTTTCAGCATTATAACCAGTAGCTCATCAAAATTATCAATATGTTTATTTATAAAATTTATGTTAGTGTAACAAAAACAAAATAATATATTACTGACGTGCTATTTTTTATATGTTCACGCAGTTTACTTAGTATAAAAAAATTAAAATAAAAACTCCAATTAAAGTGTTCAAAGTTAACGTATACAATTATGTGTAAATTTTTATAAACTTTCAGTGTTTTTTGTCAATTTAAATTCCTTTATCATTTCTAAAGTAGTAAAATATGAAAATAACCCATGCATTACTGTTTTCAGAATTCTAGAGTACGTTATATAGTTCAATTTTTACATCTATGAAAATTTTATCATAGAAAGTTTCGGCTATCGACTTATGAAGAATAATAAATTGTTAACATATTGATATTTTATTTATTAATCAAGCTCTAGGCTAAACTTTTTGTAAACTTGTTACTGTGTTTTATACATAATTACATGCGTTAACTGTGAACTATATACTATATAAACAAAGTAAGCAACAAAAGAATGCATTACAATATATTATACAAACAAAATAATCAATAAAAGATATGCATTGCTATACTATACAAACAAAGTAAACAGTGTTAATATAAATAAAAAAAATGCATTATTATGCTTAACAAAATAAGCTATAAAAGAAAGTTTTTTTCATCAAATGTGATCATATTTCACATTACTCTACCTTTAAACTTGCAATTTATTGCCATTTTTAAAAAACTAAAAACAAAAATAAAATATTAAAAATGACACGTAAAAATAATAACATTAATTGTTTGTCAGATACTTTTATGTATCACTATTATTGTCTTCCGGAATTTTGGAGATCCTCTCAGATGAACGGCGGAACCAATTAATTATTGCTAACTCTATGTTCCTATCATCAATTTTAAAATGTTGCTTTACAGAATCTGTTAACAAAAAGTTACAAATATTATATAATACATAATATACATTCCACTTTTGTCATCAATTATTAAATATACATATGATATTTACCAAATAATACACATGAAACTAGAGTTCCATCAAATTTTTCATTATTTTTAGTCCTTGCCAGGATATTTTTGGCTAGACATGGCTCAAACATAGCTCGCAGTATTCGTCGAATATGCTCACCACCATTTTTCCTCCACGATTGAAAAACATGTTTTTCTGAATCAAAGATTTAATTCAACCTGTAGCGTCGAATCTCATTTTTAAGATTGTTACTTCATTTGATTACTTACAAGCTGTTCACGCACAGTCTTGCTGTTTGACAATAATGTTTCAAGTTCCTGCCAATTATTTAACGTTTTTAACGGAAAATCTGGTAAAATGTTTGTCAATTCTTCTTCCTGTGCGTTTCGGATATTTCTTTGAGGACATTTCTTGACATCTGGTGTATTGCGTAAATACTTCTCTTCATAAATTTTTTCAACAACATCACGAATTTCTCTGACGTCAATTTGTAACCGTGTTATGCTACGAAGTATTCGCTTTTCGAATTCTAAACAAGAAATTATGTAATATTCATAAAATATTAACAATTATAAATACTTAGCTTTTTCTGATAAATAAATACGTGAGCTGCTTTGACCAAGTTTATATTAATTAATCGACGATTAACTTACAGTATTATATATATCAACAGAATTTTTAATGTAATCGTCTTTCTCTTTTTCTAATGTCAAATATGTTTTACTTTTTATATTGGCAACTCTGTGTAATCATCGATTAATTTATTGGAGCTTGATTGAATTGGTCTTTAATGAGGTGTTTGTTATATATTGTATCAGAATAGATATTTTACCAGTTTCACCAATATATGATGACGTCTGGAATTTCAGTTTACTAATCGACGAATTTGCTCGTTGATCTTCTTGATTATCCCACATACTGCATTCTTGACGAGTATTGTCTAAAGTAGAAACAAAAATTTACTGTTTTTATGATTCAATATTTCAAAAAAAACAATATCATTTAAAAAAATTTCAATTAAAACTTTTAAAATATTATAAAATGTATTCATATACGTATAAATATATGTCAGTTTCATCTCGAAATGTCCAATTAAAAATTTTTTAATTTATTCGATTTAATTTTTCATTCATTTACGATTTTAAACTAGATAATGTGATAAAACTAGATTAAATTATGACTGTTTACTGTAACTCCGAATTCAATTTAATATTACTAGCTAATTCATTTATAATGTCCTGAAATCTTTATATGAAACTTTTTTTTCAAAACTGATTATTTTTGAAAGCGTGGCATCTCGGATTTCACTGTTTATTTTAAGAAATGTGTGTATATATTTTATAGATAATTTGTTGATTCTCTAATCATTTTTGGATTTTATAAAAAAATTGTGATTTTGAGTTTGATTCATAATTTATGTTAATCTATTATTAAAGTTCTATCTATTATTTTTATATTATTTATTTATTTTTATATTTACATTATATTATATTTTATATTATATTTATTATTATTTATAGTATATCTATTTATAGTATTTATTATTGTTAAAGTTTTACTTTTTAAATGTAACGTTATCAGTAAATTTTGAACTTCTATTAACGCCTTAGAAAATAAGTAAGTTAATTACACTTTTACCTTCAGCAACATGTTTACGATAATCTTCTGATGATGAAGAATAAGATGACTTGGGCAAAGTTGCACTCTTTTTTGTCGGTGCTTCATAGGAAGGAAGAATTGCCTTCTGCACTTGTTTGTGTTTATCTTCGAAAGCTTTAGGTAATTGAATATTTGATTTATTTGGCCTTCTATTTTCTTTTTGTTCGTTTGATGAATTGCTTGAATCTGACACATATATGGAAGTCTTGGTAACCGACTGATTATGCGAGGAACCTGGTTTCTTCTTTTTAATGTTCACTTCATCGCTCAATGAATCATCGTCACTGAAATATCGAGGATTACGTTTATGTGATCGTTTGCTAGATTGAACATTTTTCGACGGAAAATCCGACAAAACTTCAGCCTCTTTTAAATTTAAACGAGCTGTGTCGTAATCATCTGAAAAGTAATTACGATTATGTTATTTTCAATTCATGTAAATGGACGCAAAAATTAACTATTTGAACATTTAGAAGCAGTAAATTTACTAAACACATATTTCAAAATTTTCTTTATGATAAATATCATTAACTGTATTTTAAATTGCATACCAAATGTGCCAAGAATTCTGCATTGATAAACTGGCCAATCTTGATGAGGAATTGTTCTTCGAATAACACTCTTTGCTGGAAAAGATGTATTAGGCCACTGACATTGCAATATTCCGGCTGATTCCTTAATCCAAAAATCTGGTACAACCTCTACAGTATCTTCTTCCATAAAATGAACGATGCAAAATTTTGATAAAGTCATCTCTGAGGAGCCGTATATTTACATATTAAACATTTTCTTGACTATGAATAAGTGGAAAAATTACAATATTGCGGCGGTGTTCAGATTGATAACGTTCATCAAAAATAGGTAAAACGACGGCTTTGTTTTTTATATCATTAATTGAAAATGCTCGCAGGGAACTGTATATATTGGAAAATTGCACAATTCCAAAGCAAGTGGAAGGCGCAGGAGAAGTAAAGAAAGATGTTCCATTTTTCAACATTTTTCCAATAACTACGATATCATTATTCATATGACATATATTTTGTACCATAACAATGCTCTCATCAGTCATAATGCAGTAATTATTAGGAGTTTTTGTAGTAATTGTAAAATGTTTAAATTTGATCTTCTTGTACATAGGCGATCTGCATCCATTTATCAAACATCCATTGTAACATTCAGCACCTAATTTGTATGTATTAATGGTATTATCAATACTGTAAAAATTATTTTGATTTTTCTTATTTTAAATATTCTATTGCTCAGTTGTTCAAGAGGTTTATCGGTTTTTCTTATCAATTTTTATTTGCTGCAATTGATTTTCAAAAATAAAAGCTGAAAATTCATCTAATGCTCCCCATTTCAAAGCATCATCAGCGAGGTGCAGCAAACCGTGGGTATTATATGTAACGTTGTTTTCTCCGTACAATTTTATAAAATCCATAAAATATGCTTCCAATAAGTTTTTGCATATCTATTTTGTTCCACATTTATTTCAGGCGTTGCTAAGACACGTATTGCGACAAACAGTTTAAGAAAATGTTCATATACATCTTGTCGTATAATTTTACGCAATACGATTGGTCCAGTGTACAAGATAAATTCTCGAAATTCAGTCGCTTTCATACGATCGAGCTCATATAATGCTCTTGGTTTACGAGCAAAATTAAACGGGATATATTTTCTTAAAGCAATTTGTCTCTCTGAAATATCGCTAACTTGTTGAGCCCCCAGTTTCATTGGATTTAATTTTCCTGTCATTATCTTTAGCATTTTTCGTTTGTCCTAGTAAAACTAAGTGCATATAATCGTGAGGTATGTCCGAAACCATGTCCTTGATAATATTTAATAAGGGACTTACTTCATTGTGATGTTGCTGCTGAGTTTGATTAACAAATGATTCCGCGGTACGTAACGGAGCATTCATTTCTGGAAACACTACTTTTCCTCTGTAAATACCTTTAGTTTCACATTTAGGACACCCATAGTATCCAGTGTGAGCTTTTGTGCAAGAAATATAAGCCCTTGCAGGCGCATCACATATGAAGTTATCAATAAAAATTTAATCCTGTTATCTTTCCAATTGAATCCATTTTGCATCAGATTTTGAGCTTCTTCGATAAAATCGTGTAAAAATACAGCAGCAGATGGCGCCTTTTTAAATCCGTGAAATGCTCCAATGAGAAAAGGTGTCTTGTCAACAAAGTTGCGAAAACTTGCAAGAATAGTCCACAGTCCGCTCCTGGAACTTTTTACAAGCGGTAATCCATCTACATTAACAGACAGATGTATTTCTTCAGGTATACATCTGATATCACATTTTTTCATAGTATGTCGTAAGCCTTCTTCTATTCCAAAATAACGGAAATGGCCGTATTCCATTTCAATTACGTTTGCTTTCCTGGGAGTCCTTAGAAGTGTTCGACCATCTGTTGGGAGGCAGCTCATAATTTCTTCTTTCTTTAATACACGCAAAAGATTAGTTACGGCGGATATACTTATGTTATTGTCATAAACCCACTGCACTAAATTTTTGCGTAATCTAGCGATATTAATTTCATTATTGATTTCGTGTTCCGACTCAAGTAAATCTTCATCTTCATCTGATTCATATTCATCTGATGGTATGCCAAATTCAACATTTTCATTAATATTTTCATTTATATTAACATTTTCTTCCTCTTCTATTGCTATTTCCTGTTGTATTAATTGATAATCTGCATTATTTTCATGTAACTCGGACAAAGAATCTGAATTTTGCTGCAGTTGTCTGTAATTTACAATGTTTGACTGTGCCGCGTCAGGTTCAGTCAAATAATCCACTTCATCACGATCTTGTATATTATTCAGTTCAAAATCGTGTATTGCATGTCTTACAAGTCTATTCTTATGCTGACGACTATAAAATGTAGGTTTCCTTGATTTTGGCATGTTTACGTTAAAGGAGTTGAACTGCAGAACATAATAAATAAATATACATAATATATGTATATACTTTGTTTTTAAAAATTGCACACTTAAGCACGTCGAAAAAAATTAAAGCATTTGTATACAATTTAAAATAAGTAAAGAAGATTTACATTATTTACAAAATAATACTAAGTATGAAATAAAAATAAAAATGTACCAGTACAATTCTAAATGTACAATTCTAAAAATTAATTTTGTAAAAATTACGTACAAATTGTTATAATAAAAATTAGTTGCTGAAACCTGATTTTGTTTTTAACGAATACTATAGAGAAATTGAATTTTTGTTTATTAATGAACTTTTTGGACTATTACAATATATACATATATATACTTATGTTAAATGAAACATCTTTCCTTGCATTATAACAACTTGTTTTCATACAGTATATTCAGTTCTGCATAAAAGGGAAAAATCTTTGTAAAAATACACAGTGACTCTATAGCTGATACATATTTGAAATGCAAAAATAGCATTTTTTATTATTAACGCATGTTTTACTCTAGTCGGTAACGTATACTAATAAACAAAAAATAAGTTCTTGACATTTAAAAAAACAAAATTAACGGTATTTTAATCGTCTGATTGTTCAATTCCACGACAGTGGAATTTTTTTCGGACAAACGAACGGTCAGACGATTGAGCTGTTGGACATTAAACGAAAGAGAGCTATTGAACAATTCGAATATTCAGACAATTGAAATACATTTAATTAAATTTTAACTTGATAACACGAAAGTACAAAAAGCACAGATAAAATGATAGTAAATAACTTACCGTTTAATCAACACAAACTGTAAAATCTGAGGTTATGATTGTTGTCATTCAGTAGTATTTTGGCGGTGCGTCACTGACTTACACAGAATCCGGTATTCTTGATATTTTCACTAAGACTTTTCTATATATTCTCTGCAATAAATATCTCTTTGTTCAATAACACGAGGTATGAGAGATACGAGCGGCACACGAGAGCACGAGCACGAAACATGTTGTGACACGTGAAAACCCGGCCGACCAGGACATGCGCAGCGCATTGCGCACTAGCGCCTAAAATTATCAGGATTAAAAGTCACTCTAAAAAAAATTGTAAAAAATAAAAATTATTGTAAGAAAATTATAATTAATAATAATAATAGAATTAGAATCTTCAGCTCAGACGTCCTCACAGAACTAAACGGAGGATGTCTACAGGACATAAAATAAACGTCTTATTTTGGATATAAAAAGACACAACCAAAATTTATATGTATTAAACGAATGTTATCGATAAAAATTAAGTTTTCAACTACAGGGTATACATATACTCGATATATTGTAAGATGTCCGGAATATGTCTTTTTAAAGTCCTACAACTGTCCATCGCAGTTGAAATTTTAACAGGACGTCCGACTAACGTACTTTGGACGTCCCACAAATGGGGACATGTGAGGACATATATCGGACGTCCGAATAACGTACTTTGGACGTCCCACGAATGGGGGACATGTGAGGACATATATTGGACGTCCAAAGGACGTACATGTGTTGTGTGGGAAGTTTAAAGTTTACAATTTTTGGCATAAAATGTAAAATATCTGTAAATGTAAAACGTTCAGTTTAAATCAATGACACCATCTTATGTCCCCCTCATAATCAAAAAACTTGTTTGAGACATTTTTTCCATCTTACTTACTACGAGATATTGACGTGCGTTGATTAAACTGACTCACCCTGCATATTTGTACATATGTATATGTGCATGCATGCACAAAATTTCTTTTTTATATAAAATATATCTATCATGATCAGCATTATTATAGGTACTGTACATATAATTATACTAATTACTCTTTATTCAAATTCAAAATAAAAGCATTTTATAGCATTATAATCAAGATGTAATTTTATTTTAATGTTTCAGAGCAATAATGTTTGCCATGCTGTATACGAATCGTTATGGTATAAGACAAAAGTATCATTACAAAAAGATTTATTGTATGTTGTATCGCGATGTCAACAGCCCGTATCTGTAACAGTACCATGCATGCTACCAACTCTTTCACTTAATTACTATGCTTCTGTAAGTCATATCATATTATTACTACAACATTCAATGAATAAATAAATTGTCATGAGATAATTCCGATATCTTTGGCGATATAATTTAATGAATATTTTTAATCATTTTTTTTACAAAACAAACAAAGCAAAAATTCTTAGACCACAGTAGTTTTTTATTTTCAAATTATAATTATTATTATTTATATTATAAAAGAATCACAAATTTTTATAAGAATATATTTTTTATTAAAATTATAAAATTAAAAATTATTTTTATATATATGTATATTGTGAGAAATTAAATAATTTATATTTTCATCTTGATTCTACTAATTATTTATAATATATTATATAAAATAATACAAAAGCTAATTTTAGCTTTATTTTACTTTATATTATATTGACTCACTTTTATTAATAACTTAAAAGTAAATAGTTGTAGTGCGATGTTTTGTTTTTATCAAAATCTTAGTATTTGAATAAATCTTTAGAAAATATACCGTATCACCAAAATTATCGGAATAATTCCTCTTCTCTAATATTAATATTCTCTAATAATAATGTGTTTTTTGTTTATATTAGTATATGTTTGTGTACGCACATTTAAAGTAAATACTGAATAATTTAATATATATATATATATATATCTAGATTTAAAATAATTTATAATTGTTAATATTTTATAGTCATTTTAATGATATATACAATTAATAAAAATAATTTATTTATATATATATCTGACAGTATTTATCAACTACGTTTTCTTATTTGACAACTTTCCGAATAATTTTCGCCGTAGAAGATGGGCCAGATATATAATGCATTGTACGTTATTATGCTTTTCCAATATGAAAGAAATATATGGTACACTGTAAATATTAAGTATGTATACTATTAATATTTATAATATATATAATAATATTTAATTTATATTATGTAATAGTGACAATAATTTGCAAATATTCTTTCATAAATATAAACATACTTATTTTCATATAAAATATTAAAAATTCTATATAACTGAATACATATATATTATATAAGAATATTTTGTTATGTCATATAACACGTATCGACCTTTAAACTATAACAAACATGCAACATTAAAGCTAATAATAAATTGATTGCACAATATACGTATATTATACAATACAATTTTATTAAGATTAATGGTTTTTAGTTCTTATACATATGTATTTCATATACATACACATATATGTATATTTGTATATATATATATATATATATATATATATATATATATATATATAATCTTTAAATATACTTGTCTACAATATATATATATTTATATTTATACACACACACACACAATATATATGCGTGTGTGTGTGTGTGTGTGTGTGTGTGTGTGTGTGTGTGTGTGTCTGTATTCCAGTAAACACGCAAGAATCATTTACGAAAAGATTACATAGTATTCTATTATATGTATATGTTATAGATCAGCAAAACGAAACTATGACGTATTGTTTATGTCAATAACGTAATAAATCTATGATTGTTACATATGGTATAATTGTTATGTAATTTTAGCGTTACTTTGTTATGTAACATTTATGTATTTTGGTTATAATGTAAATGTGTATATGGTACTCTAAAAGTTTCGTAAATGCTACGTAATTTTAATGACATAATTGTAACGTTATGTTAAATACGTAACATTTATGTATTTTGTTCAATGTAAATGCGTATCCTTTGTAAAAAAAGGCATGTAAAGTCGATGCTCGCATGTATTGATGCCGCTTTTTTGCATTGCTGATTGGTTGTCTTGATTCGCACTGTGTTATATTCATATCAAACAACTGTCATTGCGAATGTTAATAGTTTAGTAGTTGTTCAAAATAATATATATCAAATCAAAGCACATAAAATCAATTGCATGCGCTTATGTTGTTTAGTACTCTAAAGTTTTAATGACATAATTGTAACGTTATGTGAAATACGTAACATTTACGTATATTAAAGATGTAAATATTTATATTTTAAAAACTTTATTAATGCTACATAACTCTAATGACATAACTGTAACGTTATGTTAAATACGTAACATTAATATTATTTTGTTGACATCTACCCAGCAAACACCGATATATGATTGTTACATTGCTATAATAAAACGGAATATAACAAATAATATAACGTGTATGTTACATGTAACATCCATGTTAGTTGTAATTTCCCACTTATAGATGTAACATTTTAATATAATATATATTACATTGTAGTTATATTGTAATTATATACCAAATAGCACATCGATATATTGATAAGTCAGTGCTATCTTGGGATATAATGACAATATAACTACAATGTAATATATGTAATATTAAAAATGTTACATCTATGAGTGGGAAATTACAACTAACATGGGTGTTACATGTAATGTACACGTTATATTACCTGTTATATTCCGTTTTATTATAGCAATGTAACAATTATAATATACATTTAAAGATATAAGACAGGCAATAAGAGCCAACTCGCGAATGACAGTGCGTTATCCTAACGAAACTAAATTTTTCGTTAGGATTAAGTATCTGTGCACAAGGCACCAAATTTTACTTGGTCACGGCCAAGATTTAAATATGAAATAATCTCATATTTGAGATTTAATTTCAATAACCCTTTCACCCTCCTACGAAAATAAGTAACAATTATATATCGGTGTTTGCTGGAGTGTTTACTAGTTTTACGACAACACATTCCAGCGCTCTTACACGTCGGGATACAAGGCTCCGACAGCCGATCACGTAGTCTCTCTCCGAGCTTGGTCACGTACAGATCTGTTCGTTCTACCTAAGCTGTATAAATTACTTAAAATATAAGTAATCTTGCTAATACATAAATACGTTCCTTTTATACGCTTCCTTATAATAATAATAATGTGTAATTAAGAACTATTAAGATAAAACAAACTTAATGCGAATCATAAAATAAACGACTTTGGCTGTTAATTGTTTTACATAATAACTGTCATAATATTTCTTTTCTTTTCACGCTCGTTAAAATAATCGTTCCATCAAGCAATCACTTATCTAGTTATATGTCATCTATATATAATACTAGCTTTTCGGACCGCGCGAAGCGCGGTCCTCATATAGCCTATATTAAATCCGTTTTAACACACAAAAATTAATTCTTTTTTCTGTATTACCGCGAACTACTTCTACATTTATTGTCCGACTGTCACGAAATTTATACCAAAATAAATATTTAAATTTTTTTGTGGATAACTACTATGTTATCTATTTCTTTTTCCAGATATTTTATTTTACATCGCGTTTTGCATATATTTAAATATTTATTATATATTTTTATTTTTATTTTCTTATTTATTTTAATTTCCACACAATTTTATATTTTTAAATATAAAACATTATTTTAGTTAATATATATACTTTAAATATTTTTTTATTACTTAATTATTATATCCTTTTTTAAATTTTACTCAATTTTTTTATGTCTAATGTACCCACCGCTAACCCGCTATTATTAGCTCTCATACAATTTCATAATTCTTTAATTTACAAAATTTCCCTGTATATTACATTTTTTGTAAAACATTTTTCACTTTCTTCAATTAAATGTCCTTGATTGCTAAATTCATCAATTTTAATTTTTACACTTTCTCTTTTTGTTGCTCTAGAAAATGCCACATAAAGTTGACCATGAGCAAATACAGGATGTGGCAAATAAATTCCAATTTTTTCTAAATTTTGTCCTTGTAATTTATTTATTGTCATAGCAAATGATACTCGAATAGGAAACTGTCTTCGTTTAAACTTAAATGGCAGTTCCAAATCATTTGTAATTAAATCTATCCTCGGAATCATGACAATTTGTTCTCGAGCAGGACCTGTTATAACTTTTACATAAATTATATTATATTTCAAATTAGTTACAATAAATCTTGTACCATTACAAAGTCCTTTTTTAGTATTTAAATTTCTTAATAAGATTACTGTAGCACCAACTTTTATTTTAAG